GGGTTAGGTTAATGGTTGGACTCGATGATCTTAAAGGTCTTTTCCAACCAAAGCGATTCTATGATTCTATGATTTTCAGGCTCCTTCAATCTCATTTCCAAAACATCCAAATCCTCTGGCTTTGCCCAGCTGTCCTGTTGAGCCTTACAATTTTGTTTACTTGCTTAAAGCTCTTGACACTTACTCATCAACTAGCCGAGGTCTAGCAGTTCAACTTCTAGGAAAAGAAAACAAAACCTCAAGCTCACAGCAACGGGAATGAAAGCAGCTGCTAGCGCAGCCACATGGCTTGCTTCATTTCAAGTCATGCTGGAAGGCACAGCTCAAGAAGCAGAGCTCAGGTATTCGACTGCCTCGGTGTCATTGCTGACAGCCACAACAGCACTGCGGTGTCAGATGCTCAGCAGCATCTCTCCTTCCACCTACACCTCCCCCAGCTGTCAGCCAATAATCAGAACACTGAAGGCATTTGAAAGGAAAATGCCACGTGAATATGAACTTATTCAGACCTGGATGAAAGGCGACTGGTGGGAAATTCATCCTACCTACACACAGCCTACATGCCCATGCAGGCAGATGAGCTTCAGTCTTGATGAGGGAGCCTGAACTTAAAACGTGTCTGCTTTTTCCAAGGGTATCTGCTGCTCTAATAGGAGATGTTACCTTTCTTACCTTTCCCAACTAAGCTCAATTCTGGTTTTAGAGCATCCACTCTCCAATCTGTCAAAGGAACAGTGGAGAAAAGTGAAAAGAGCAAATGCATGAGGAAGTCATGGGAATATTTAGGTGAAACAGTAAAATGACACCAAGTTCCACAGGTAGCACGAGGCCAGATTTTCCAGGCACACGTCTGCTACCCCACGTAGTCTGTACATCTTTGGACACTTTTTGCACATGCCTCAGGTTTGCATGCAAAGTTCCAAACTGCACAAAAATTGTCATACTTCTCCCAAGACACCAGCTGGCTAGGTGTCATCTCCTTTCTCACCTGCAAGTTACAGGCATACTTCCACCATGTGGCCAGCCATCCTGCTGTAGATGCCATACACCCAATCTTCAGGTGCAGGCTCCTCCTATGTCCACTCTGGTCTGAGCACACCCAGTCACAGCTGGGAGCCACACAAGCAGTTCAAGGGCCAACTACAGCCTCGGCTGGAGCTCTTCTGCAAATAAATCCTATTTTGCACCATCTCCCCAGCATTAGAAAATGCTGCATTTACCCAGCAATGTTTGCAGTTTTTTAATAAGCAAGACTGGGAAATTGCAGATCCAGCCACATCCTTCTAAAAGCAGTGGTCGATGTGCCTGGTAAAACACCAGGATATACTTGCTGGCTACTTCTCTCCATTTTATTAACTTTTTACATGAAGTACTATTTTATAATCATGCAGATTAAAAGCACTTTACTGTAGGGTGTATTCCGTAATGAATGCTGGAGATATGACCTATTTGGAAGTGAATCACATTACAAATTCACATAAGTCAATTTTCAGGATCTCTCTCATGCATGCTAAGCAGAAATGAAAGAAAATGCAGACAAGTTCAAGACAAAAACCAAACATTTGTAATACCAGAAAATATGACTCTTTGGAGCAATAAATGTGTGTCAAGGAAGAACAACAGTTCAAGGAATCAAGCTTGGTTTCCACTGTTTGTAAGAAGCTATATTTTAGAACATGTTAAAGAAGTAGATGCTATTACGTCTGGTCTGTGCATAGCAATCATAAGCAAAACAGCATGTGATTTCCCAGGGAAGCAAAATAATTTTAGAGTCATAGTGTACTGGGCTTGAGATTGGATTATGCATTTTTTCCTTAATCATCTCAATTCCTTAAAGAAATCACTTATACAGAAGTGAAAGGTTTCTAGAGTGGAATTGACATCTTTAAAAACAGAACTGTGGATGTTCTTTTCAAGCAGGATCCTAAATGGCATGAATATTATATATATATATTTGTATTTTAACCTCACTACAGCTTTCAGACTTACTTAAACAACATAAAATCTGTTTTCCTAAGTCACCAGGTTCCAAAGTTTAAAGTATTCAGGCACCGAGAGATGCAGACAGGCAATTAGTAGAATTTTCAAAAGCACTTCAAAATCATGGTTCAAACTTGTTTTGTCTTTTCCTTCCCCTCCCCCATGGAGTGGCTCTTCCAGGGCCTTGCTACTTCAATGGCTGGGAATCCTCCCTCATTTCCAGCTTAGTTAATGGCTACACCACAGTTAATGGCTACTTTATCTCCACTTTTTTCTTGGGCCAAAGTGTTTTTGTTCTTTTTCCTTGCCTGTTGTTTTCCACCCCCTGAGCTGTCCTGGCCTTTATGTGGCTCTGCATGTCCACAACTGCTGTCTTCTCCTTTGCTGAGCTCCCATTCCCCAGCAGTTCCCGCGGCCCCATCCACACCAGGTCTAGCCAAATTCATCCCTCCTGCACACCGAGAGCCTGAACAATATCGTGAGGAGAAATCAGGAGCCCCAGACTGGTGCTTTATCAAAAGCTGCTATTAATGATAGGAAACCCCACAGAAAATGGGCTTCGCACCAGCCCTGCCTCCCTGCAAACGAACCGCCACGAACCAACCCAGGTTACCTGAAGGGGTAGGCAAAGGCTATGTCAATGTTGAGGTCACTCTCGGACTTGTTTGCACAGTCCACACTGAGGCGCAGTCCTCCAGAGTACCCACCGCATGTTGCAAATGCAAAGATTGCAAAAAGCTGTCAAAAACAAACAACATTTTTATTTTATTTCATTTCAGCAACCACCACAAGCAGATCCATGCAGCCGCTCTCGCTGCAGCACCAGCCCCCTTGGGTCAGGTTATCCATCACTCCGTGCACTCAAGGCATTGCCATACATTACTCCTGCGTCCTTCCCGAAAGCCGATATAAAGAACCACAAAATGTGAAGCTCTGTTGCCACGCATAGACAGAAATGTCACCATTTGTCTGTGCCAGGCATCTCAGCCCTCCCCGCCTGTCTTGAACCCCATCTGGAATTCACAACCCAGGCAGCTATTTAAATCATCCAAGTGACAGGCAAGCTTGGACAGGAGAAGGATGAATATTGACTGAGCATAATAAGTCAGTCTTAACCCAGATAAAACCACGGCAGAAGTATTTGTAAGGAGCAACCAGGAGTAGCAACAGTAGACCAAGACGGTTCATGTGGCCACCATCCCATTACATGGAAAACATGGAATTGTGCTGCTCCTCCTCCATTTAACACATGGCTTGGAAAAAACACAATTTTTTGATTATTTTTCTTAAATTGCTACCATAACCCAAGATGGATACAGAGGTGCAGCAAACTGACATTCAGCAAAACAGAAAAAAATCAAGACGCAGGATAAGCTTGGGCAAAGCGGACCACAACAAAGAGCTTGGGTGGCTCTGATGCAAACTTGTATCGCATCTTAATCTTCCAGGAGAAGGAGGGAGTACACAGGCCAGACACACGCCAGCATTTATATTTATATCAAGGGTTCAAACGTAGGCTTCCTTGGAAGACCCTGAGCAGACATGGGGACAGCTTATTTATGTAGTGGTAATTTAAATTAAAGGACAGCCTAGATTTTGTTGATTGTAGTGCTATAGATCTGCAGTAACTCCATCAGCTTTAACAGAGGTACTCTGAGATCTACAGTGGGGCAGATATGGGAAATGACAAGTAAACCCCTGATGCCAGCCACATTAAATAAGCTAAAAGCCAGCAACATAGAGGAAACACAGTGCACACGTCTGCAAAAGAAAATGTGTGCTTGGACACTGAAGAAATGCACAGCAAGCAAATGTAATGGCAAAATAAAGGACTGAATAATTCAGTAAACGCAATATGGAAATATAATAAACAGAATAAAATAGACCTATCCTTGCTGCACAAGGTTCTGCACAAAACACCGTTAATCTGAGTTCTTCCAATTCACAGGGTGAGCAAGGCCAGGTGTCTCAGCAGCCTCCTTGGGCTTCAGCTTTTCCCCAGACATTGCTGGGTTACAGGGGCAACTCCTGAGCACTGGGGTAGGCAGAGCAAGGGGATGTGCTGAGCACGACGGAGCACAGAGAATAACAGGGGAACAATGCCAGTTCCCATCCTGCTGCTCACTGCCAATGTGACCAGGGCGTATCACCGAGAACAGATTTGCAAAGGTATTCAGGTGCCCAGTGAAAAGGAAAGTTGATAAAAAACTTTGATTGAATCAATTCTTCATGCTGAGCTCGCTGAAAAAAAGGAAAGCTGAGCTTCACTGTGAATTGACTTGTTAAATATGTGCCACAAAATAAATGTTTCTACTATAACTTGAACAGTGTTTCTTCATCCTAAATGAGACACTTCCTCTGTAACTACAAGAAGTTTCCACCCTGAACACAGCACAGCACTGAAAATCAGCATTAATCATCTCAGTTTAATTTGTGAGGCAATGTCAGAAAACAATGTATTAAGGAGAAGAGTACAGATTAGTGCTGACCTGCTTTCTGGCCTAATTAATGGAGTTACAAATGCAAGTGTTTTACAGATACATAGGGAGGCACACAGACTTATGCAGTGATATGTAAAGAGAGAACTGAAGGGCTGTGGTGTGACCTGCTGTAAAGGAAGAGCCATCACCTCTCAGCTACAGCTCTCAGGATGGGTCCAAGCAGAGGAAGGACATGCAATTGAAATGCATCTCCATTAACCAAGCAATGGAAATCAGCATAAATCTGTGCCACCATGTTTATTCACCAAGGCCATGGAGCCATGGCCAAAAACACAGCTCAGGCTATTCCTCCTCAGAAAGGATCTCCTCCAGAGTTCCTCTCCCCTATCAAAGCAATTGAGCACCTGAAGTCTCAGTCCCTCAGACAGTTCAGGTCTAGCCTTTACTCACTCTCTAGCTCCACATCCAGCTCTTAATCAGAGGCTTTTCAGATTCTTTCACTCATTCAGCAAACCCTTCAGCCTCCATCCTCTCCAGCCACAACCCACCAGGGCTGCCCACCAGCTCCCATCCTTACTCAGCTCACGCTCTGCTACAAGAACCCAGGCAGCACCCACAAGGCAGGTGGGAAAGGAGAAAGGACCCAGCTGGAGATTTTTATACCTAACTTCAGCAAGGCCTCAGCCAACCCATGCCTGGCTCTCTGCCATGGCTGGCTCAGATGCTGCTAACGGCTGGGATCGCCCAGCTAGTAACGCCCGGCCAGTCCCTGCAGCTGTGTGCCGAGGCCATACAGCGCCTTTTGGAAGCATATTTATGTTTTGCATTGCAGGAGAGCAGGGTGAGGGCTGTAGATCCCTGGTATTTCCCTGGGGTATCTTGGCCAAGCAGCAGGCCTAATTCTCCTCTCGCCCAAGCAACCTTCTCCTCCTACCTCTGCCTTTCCCCCTTTCTTTTTCCCCCACATTTTGCTGCTTTAAGTTGTCAGTGGAGCGCCTGGTGCATTAAGCCAAGATTTACTCGTTGGTTTTTGTGCACGCTGTAATTCTGTGGCAGTTGCAGGAAAGCTGTAAACACCACTCTATTTTTTTATAGCAGGGGTTGTGTAAAAGGCAGGTGTAAACCCCATAATGGGAGCTTTATGGGCCAGATTCAATAAAACCTCCATCTGTGAGATAATTTAATTGAATCTGGCCTCTCTGAAATTGAAAAGTTTATGGAGAAAGGGAAAGCGTTTCCCTATGTTCCTATTTACTCTTTGCCTATAAATCCACACAGCTCTAGTCCCAGCTGCAGTGTGCATGCATATCGCTTTCCCCCTTCATATCAGATAAATCTCCCCAGCACAGAGTTACCCCTGGTTATCACGTGGCTGCTGTCTCCCAGGGCTCAGCCCCGCCGGCCAGCGCTGCGCCTGCCTTCCCCCGAGGAGCAGCAGCCGGGAGAAACACGGTGCCCTTGGGGCAACAAATCTTGGCTGCCGTGGCCGTGCTGGGCTGCTCCTGCCTGCTGGCACAGGAGCAGGGCAAAGCCCAGCCATCCCCTGCGCACCCCATCCCTCCTGCGACAGCGATGCAAGGGGGAGGTCAGTGCCTTTGCTTCTGCCTGGACCCTTGAGAGGAATGGAAAATTCCTGTCCCCCGCCCAGATCCACGGTTAATGTGGGATAACACACCAAGCAAGCCTCATGCTTGTCTGATGTGCGCTATCTAAGCAGTTACCAACCCACCTGGTGAGGCTGTAGACCAAAGGGAGGGGGGGGAAGGGACATTATTTGTGCTCCCCGGCATGGACCGGAGCAATGCACATCTGCCATGCCTGGTCCAGCCTGGCTGGAAGATCACCCTTCTTCCACATGGTTTCAGACACATCTCTGATGGAGAAGCACACCTCTGAAGCTTGCAATGTCTTTCTGTATGGTGATTAATACCCCATCCCCTGCTCCTGTTATGGTGATATTCCCTCTATGACCTTGCAGCATTGGCCTGCGCTATTGGTATATTTTTGTAAAGAAGTTAGGTAAATCCCGTAGTCTAACTTAATCAACAGAAATTGTATTTATTAGGGTACTGTGCAATAATAAACAGCCTTCACTGTCAAGTCAGAATTAGCACCTTTTAAAGATCAGTTGTCTCCTTAGCACATTGAGAAAAAACAGCAATATCATTTCCAGCAGAGCACATGCTTCTCACACCAGCTCAGGGCAGACAAAGGTTCATCAGCTGATACACGGGATCAGCTGGAAGCCCTCCTTTTGCTGATGCCAGGCTTCAACGCGATGGCAATGGATCCTCTAATTCAGTATTCAGGAGCCGTTATTTACCCAGACTCCAGACTCAAGACTGGTCCCCTTGTTTCCCAGCCCAGCTATCCTCGGTGGCTGGGGGCTTGGGGCGTGCGATGCCCTGGGGGAGCTGAAGTCCCAGCTGTGCATTAGACAGTTGGCAGAGCCTCAGCACGCGACCCCGGACATCACTCATCCCGCTGTGGAAAGGAAAAATGGGATGATTTCCCATCGCTTCTCTGCGTTTGGCTTTCCGACAATTCCCCTCAATGCCTGCTGAGCGACAGGCTCGCTGTGCGCACCAGAAGAAGGCAGAACGGTTCCTGACAAGGCGAGTTAAAAGGCTTATGTAGAGCATGTTACAGCTAAAACATCCTGTTAGGAAGATAACACTGTCATTTAAAATTGATGGAACTTTTATATAAGCCACTTGCTTTTCCCGGGAGCACGTCTGCCCCGTACAGCAGCCTTTGGCAGCTCGCTGGCAGCCGAGATGGAGCTGGCTTGGGGATGCACCCCAAATTCCAGTGCCCCCCACCCTGGTTCAAAGGGAAGATCCCTGCTCTGCCTGAGGGCTCCTTGGCCACTCCTCCAGGGTGGTGAGATCTTAAAAAGAAGCCGTGTTGGTCTTGCCTGGAGCGGTGGTGGCCGAAGACAGGCTGCGAGGGCCACGCAGCTCACTACGTGGGCTGGTCTGCAACGCTTTCACTTGGGGCTGAGGGAGGAAAATGGTAATGAACCTGCTGGACACTTTCCCAGAGAGATCCACCCTGGCCCCCCACTCCTGCCTTACAACTGGAAAGCCGAGGGGAACCCCTGACACTTCTAAAGAGCAACCTGAAATACTTGAAACGCCTACCCTTTCATTAGTCATTTTACACCTTCAAAGTGTTTTACAAAGACCTATTTTTCTGGCATCATTTCTGGATGCAAGACTTCCCTTTCCCTGGATCGCTATAATAAAGAGGCTGCAAAACGTTTGCCAAATGTTGTATTGTTTTACACTTTCTGCCGCCCAGCATGGCCAACGGCACGCCTGAGAGCGGGGAGGGAGCGCGCCGCTCCGAGGGCCCCGGAGATGTCCCCCCCGCAGCCAGCATCGCTCGCCCCGCAGAGTGTCTCGTTAAACTGAGATTATTTATTTATAGAGCAGAACCAGTAATTGAACGTTATTATTAAGACTGTAAAGGGAAGGTTCAAAGGCACTAAATGACTGTACGGGAAAACATTTACTGCAGAGCTGATGGCCCAAAATATGTCACCAGTGAAGGATTAGGAAGCACTCTCTCCTCCAGGTCGCTGCCTGTTTCTTTTTTAAAATCTGGCATTTTTCCTGAACGGATCTGAGCTGCAGACTTCCTGGAATCACTTCTCCTACATACAAGCCTTTGTGCACTGGAGATTATCAGATTATTGACTTTGGGATTCCTAATTATATCAGCTTGACTGGTTGATGAATTGGAGGTGGATAGCATCGCAGCCGACGCAGTGCTGGGGGGGGAGGCGATGACTAGCAGGAGTCATTTTCCTCCAACAGCTATACAGGGAGAAAACTGAAATATATTATGCTCCTTCTGAGAAATAAACCCTACAGCAATTGTTCACTAATTGCTGGGATTTAATGTGCCCCCTTATAAACAGCAACATGGCAAAGAACAAGCCCATGCCTGCCCAGACCTGGTTTGCACAGAGGAGAAAGCCCAGGGATGAGGGAACATCTTGGAGTTTGGGGCTCCAGGAACCACATATGCCCCATCTGGGGAACGTTGTATGTCTGCCCAAATGACGACCCCAGCGGTGCCTTGGTTTTAGCACACTGCTGCAGGACCACTCGGGTGACTGTCCCACACCAGCAGGCACTGGCAGACCACGGGCACCTCCGGGATGTGGTGGGAGCAGGGAAAGGGCTTTTGGTGTCACCAAGCTGGAGATGGGGACATACAACCTGTCCGGATCTTGCACAAAGCACCTCATAGCTTTCACTTGGCTATCAGATGTAATATTTCCAACATCTTCTGAAAGGGGAATGGAAACGCAGCTACAGTTGTGTTGGAAGAAAATCTTTGCATCGACAATTTTGTGTGGCTTTACACCGGGCTAAGTGAACGAGGCCCTTCCATACGCCCGCTGTGTGGTGAGGACCCACCTGGAGGAGACCAACCCCCAGACCTCCCCACTTGACCGGCGTCTTTGCCAGGGCGTTTGCAGCAGCAAACTTCTCTTTTGGATTTTAGGGCACCCCGCAGAGAGCGGCCCTCGATGCCACCAGCTGGATGGAAAGACCTGACCCCACAGCAGGCAGGAACCCTGCAGCATCCCCTGTTTAAAGCACAGCATTTCATTTAATGCTTCGCATTTTTTAAATGAAAAAAAAATACTTAATTTGATTCTTAATGGAAAGATTTATGGAAATGAAATTGGGGTATTTTTAGTGTGTAAAGATCATGTTATAATAATTTGGTTCCACAATACTTTAATCCCAAGGAGACAATTTTCTCTCTTTTTCTTTGAAGAAAACCTTTATCTTTTTTATTCATCTTTCATTGATTATTCTAAAAATCCCATTTAGCTCCACCACATAATGGTATGGTAGTCTTTCCTCATTATATTTTAATAGAATAAAACCCAACTGTATATGAGAGGATTAGATAGCCATTCATCGAGGTAAAGAACATTGTTCCTCCAGATGGCCAGACAGAATCTATGTAATGCCTTTCCTATTTATCCAGTTCAAAATGTAATGCAAGCTGATGAGATGTATTTCATCCAGTATTTAATGGGTCAGCCATAAAGTTGAAAGCTAACGCTAAGGTTGGCAGCACGCATGGAAGAGTTAACAAGCAGAAATAAAGACATATTTAGAGCATCTCTTCTTGGACTCAGTGAAATGAAAAGTTGTCAGAGGACAAAGCTACTTACAGAAGTGGGGCAGAGATACTAAGCTCTTCCAGCCCCTCTAACAATTTGTCACAGGTTTGAGATAATTGAAGACATTTACAAGGACCTGAGGGTTTTTTTCTATTTATTGTATGAATTGCTTTCTGCACATGGACATTGACAGATGGGCAACGAGTCTTCCATGAAACAAAATACACCGATACTTGCTGCAGACGGATTTAGGAGTACCTGGGGTAATTACCGGGTAATTACTGCTTCATTTGGGACGTATCACAGAGTGGTAGTTTCACTGTATTTACAGCCTCCAGCCCTTTTTCCCCCTCAGCTGTAGAGCAGTCTGGAAGCTACAGCTCTTCCTCTGCAGTCTCCACAACTCCACATTTGTACCTTTTTCTTTTAAAGAGGTGGGAGCCCAAGTCAGACAGATTTGTTTAGATTTGTACATATGATCCCTGAATAACTCATGTTATGACATGTATCGCTTCAGCAGAGACAGGCGCTCCTTTTTGGGCCTGAAAACCTTTCCAGTCCTAGACTGCTAGTGATAAAAAGACAACCGTGGTGGTCTCCACCAGGATCCACATTGCAACAGTGCCCAGAGCATCGCAAGTGCCAGCCCAGGAGAGCGGCCACCCCTGGCCTGGGTCCTCTTCCTCTTTCCCATGCCAGCCACCCCCTCGTGTGCCCACGTCGTCTCATGAGCTGCTTTGGCATCGATCCCCTGTGCCCATCACAGGCAAAAAGCTAGGGAAGCCACGGTCAGGTAAAGGAGAGATTTTTCTAACAGGAGATCTTAATTCTTATTTTATTACCAGGTAAGGTTGGGCAGCCCAGCAAACACTCAGGTTCATGCATAAATGCAGTTCTGTTCCTGCGCCCGCCTGAAAAGACAGATTTTGTGCAGGCTTTACAAGATGGTTATATGGGATTTTGTGTGTAACAAGTGTAAACATTTAATTATAAAATAAAAAAGTTTGGACGGTTGCTCGTTTCCTCGCTCGCTTGGTGGGTTTAAAAGCATCTGGGTTTAAAATGGCCCACGATCTAACATAAATGCATACAGAGCGTGATCCAAGTTAATCCAAGTTATTACTAAGTTGGATTTACTCCCTCCAATAAACACAGAAATTTACATTACGGCTGACTGATATCCACACATGGGAAGCACTCTGAGAAAGGAAAGTGCCCCCAAACTTAATGTCGCTAAACCCCTGATGGTTGATACAGTCTCAGGAGATCAATGACAACCAAGACTACACCATTACTCCTCCAACACAGCACTGGATGGCAGGGGACCACAAACCCAGCTTGCAAAAGCAGTGTTGTACAGGATGCACACACCATCTGCTCCGGGCTGGGGCTGGGACAAGGCCCCTCTGCCAGCCACGGAGCCCAGCCCCATCCCCAGCTCTCCCAGCATCACCACCAGGCGCCACTGGGCAGGTCAAGTCCCCTGGCAGCACTGTCTGATGACTGCTGCAATTCCTTCGTTATCTAATTTGTGTCTTTGTTCTTGCCATTAGCTTCAGCTCCTTTTTCCCAGCACTACCTGGTAGTCCCGGGCTCTGGTGGAGCATTTTCCTGCTCTGATGACAGATGCACACAGCA